GTCTCAATGTCTCTTTTCCTACCAAGAGGGTTCCTGTGATTCAACAGCACCGAAGAGTGAAATGAACGGTATATTGTAGCTGTAGCAATTTTATAAACATACCACCGCAAAATCTGTTTAAATCCATGGTTTTCCGTATGACATAATGCAAATCATGTGAAGAATATAAATTCAAGCAGCAAAGACATCTGATGTATTCTCAACTCACGGTATCATGAGTTCCCGTTTAAGAAAAGTCTTTTCTTCTATGACCAATCAAAATGATATACATATGCTACTACTAATGATGATGATAATGACAATGATAATGATAATAATAATAATATCAATGGTAATAATAATAGTAATAAATAAAATAATGACAATGATTCTGATGATAATGATAATAATAGATATGATGATAATGATAAAAATAACAATAACAATAAGGATAATAAAACAATAATAATGATAATAATTAAAAAACGATCCTATTTGGTACATCCTCAAGTAATTAAGTGAAATATCATCCTGTTGCTCGTGAGGTCCTCCTTCAGCAAGATCTCTTCCTCTACATCCAACCAGCTAAAAAAAAATGGAAATGATTTATGGTAATGATGGTGGTGGTGGTGATGATGATAATGAAAAGGAGAAGGAGGAGGAGGAGAATGATGGTGATGATGATAAGGATAATGATACTGAGGAGGAGGAGAATGATAATGATGATGATGATATGATAAAAATAACAAAAGTAACAGTAACAATAATAACAGTAATTTCTATCCTCGAGTCATGCGATTGAGTACCATCCTGTTGCCTTTTTTGCCACTTTATTTGGTTCCCACGAACGGCCTCGTTCTGGCGGTGCCTCGTGGTTGCTGACCTTTCTGTTTCCACGGTGATACTAGTCTTTTTCCCCTTAAAAGGATGTAGCACTTTTTCTTCTTCTTTTTTCTTTTTGATTGTCAATAAACCACAGAACGGACAATATAGTGATAAAAAAAATCCAATCCCGCTTTTTGATGTATTTTATGCGTATGATATTAATTCATAATCTTTAATGTTGATGGATATTAGTGTATTTACTTGTGTCATATTTTATCTATTGGTTCATGTATTCATCTATAAATGTATTTAGTATTATTGTTTATCCTTTTAATGCAAATAACTGTTACTTTTAGAGAATACCCATTATTTCCCAAAATGGGTTATTTGCCCGAATTTTGAGAACAAAGACAAAATACACTTTTAAGTTACTTTTTGTTGTTATCAAAATGTTTCCTTTGCGTTTTATAAAGTTACGAAAAATATCAAAGTATATCTTTCTAGATGATAAAATTCATGTCTCTTGAATGGAATTATGTATAGTTATTGGCCCAAATTGTTATTTTATTTCTTTGTACATGATTAACACACGAATAAAAAAAAATTACTTTGATTACTTTTTTAATTACTTTAGAATTTTATTAATAAAAAGTAACGAACTGATTTTTTAGTAAATATCTCTTTTGACGATGTTATTAACGAAGGAAAACTAGAATTTTGGATTTTATAGATACTATACATATGTGAAAAGTTACTTCCTTAATTGCTTTTTATCAACAATCTCGTAATACGGAAAATTATTTTACATAACACTCAATAAAGCGTAAGATTAAAGAATGAAAAAAAGAGTAGGGTAATCTTGTGTGAGCGATAACCACAAGAGTCAATCCTGACAGTTATAACCCTTAGGTTAAAAGACAAAAGATAATGATAGTGTGCGTCTCTTTGTGGTCTCTCTCTCTCCTCTTCTCTCTCTCTCTCTTTCTATCGATCTATCTATCTATCTATCTATCTATCTATCTATCTATCTCATTTCTCTCTCTCTCTCTCTCTCTCTCTCTCTCTCTCTCTTTCTCCCCCTCTCTCTCCCTCTCCTTCTCTTTCTCCCTCCCCCCCACCTCTCTCTCTCTCTCTTTCTCTCTCCCGCTCTCTAGCGGGGGCATCATTTTAGCTTTTACTTTAGCAAAGATGGATTGGCGAGCGAAGCGAGAAAAAAAAAAAAAAAAAAAAAAAAAAAAACAAGTGCTATTCAAGATTTTTCAAGCTATACCCGGACCTATACAGGTGTAACATGATAAATATAAATAAATAAACAAAATTATGGCTTTTAGGGGCAAGGGGCAAGCCAGTCTTTGAGGGGCAAAGACAGTGTTGGAGACGCGTCTTCGGTCGCCGCTTTTGACCGCACTCGACCGCCACCGCCTGGTTTCCCGCGCTTTTTCGGACGCAGCTGAAGGACGACAAAGACATTCGCTCGTTTCGGACGGCGCCCAACGCCCTCCGCGAGCCAGTCCGAAGTGCTCAACTACCGAATGGGGGATGACGTTGTACCCCTAAGGTGACTTATGCCTCGTCTCGCTTCCTCCTTCTTTTTCTTCTTCTCCTTCTCCTTCTTCTCCTTCTCCTTCTCCTTATTCTTCTCCGAACCAGGAGAACGTACCGGCAGACGAGAGACACAGGAGAGCCGAGACGGACAAAACCACATAGTTCCCTGTTATGTATCCAATTGTGCGCTACCGACTATTTTCCTGAGAGTTCCGGAATGAGCGCTAGTAATGCCAGTGACACGTTTATTGACCGCGAGTGTCCATCATTGACCCTGAATAAGAAACTGTGACCCGAAGTATTCGTGATCATAAGTGAACGTGACCGTGAGTGTGAAAAACTGAACGCGTAAACATAGGTGAACCGTAATTGACGTGTATTACGGTCAGTATCAGTGTACAGTTGTGTTTTTGTTTCTTTTATTTTATTTATGTATATGTATTAATTTGTTAGACATTAAATATTACTTATTATATGTATGTCGTATAATGAATGGTTTACATTTTGTACCTTCCTATATATATGTATAGATTAATATTCAATATAGTTCATTTCATTATTATTACGATAAGAGTACTAAAAGAAAAATGGAAAGTAAATATACTCGTCTATCAATGAACACTGAAATCCTACATATTTAACATAAACAGTAATATTAATAAAGCTCAGGAGTACTTAATTCCTTGGTGGCAGCTACGAGTCTACATAAGTTACCCCTAAAATCAATCAATTGGGCCTTTAAATCACTACAACAGTCTGAGTGGAACTGCCCTCCAGTCCTCCCACCCCCTCCCCCCCACCCGATTGACGCTCCTACTCTCAACATCTTTGTTTTTGTCTGGAATGATAGAATGATAAAAGGCAAGTGACAAAGAGAAAAAAATGGTAGTGATTAACCGACCGCGAAATCTCTGAATCACTGAGTGGAATTAAGGAAAACGAGAAGAAAAATGGTTTCGTAATAAAAAAAAACAAAAAAAAAAAAATCGTCTCTTTTTACATATAGAAGTAGCCCAATCTTCCCCCTCTGTCTACCCTCCCTCTCTCTCTCTCTTTCCTCCCGCTCTCTCTCCCCTCCCTCTCACTCTCTCCTCCCCCTCTCTCTACCCTCCCTCTCTCTCTCTCCTCCCCCTCTCTCTCCCTCCCTATCTCTCTATCCTCCCTCTCTCTCTCCCTCCCTCTGTCTCTCTATCCTCCACCCCCCCCCCCCCCGCGCCGTCTCCCCACCCCCGTCGTCGCCGCTTCGCACAAGACGCCCGGGTATATAAGGAAGGTCTCGCTCGCCAAGTAGACACTCGATCCTCTGCCGCTCCACGACGTTCAGCCAAACACTGAGGATGACGCTTAAGGTGGGTCCGCAAGGACACGATTTTCAGTTCAGATGTTTACATGCACAAACACACGTTTACAGATAGATGGGTATGTGCGCGTGTGTGGTCTTGGTTTACACGTGGTGGCACCAACAAACTAGCTTGACTTGACCTCAGCAAACCTCCTCCCATTGGTGTAGCTTTAATCAAGCGAAGTCGGTCAGTCCGACATTGCTCTAAGGGCGCCTCTGTGTTTATCCGCTGCTGACCTCCTTTGACCTCCCCTCGGGTCTCCCACAGGTCCTCTTCGTCGCAGCCGCCGTGCTCTGCCTCTCAAGGGCGGCCCCGCAGAGCTACGAAGGCCTGGGCGTCCTGCAGCCCGAGACCCCTCGTGACCTGGGCGCCTACGAGAACGTGGTCGCCGCCACCATCGACGTGCTGCCGGACATCGTCGAGCTCTTCCGCAAGCTCTCCCGGAACCGCGACAGGGCCAACGACCCCGAAGACGCCCAACAGATGTTGCTGGACTTCATGCCCATCACACGCAAGGTCATGGAGGCCACGGAGAAGGCGGGGGGCGCCGGGATCTCGCAGGACACGTACCATCGCCTCAACGCCGCCGAGAAGGTCATGCCGCACATGGTCACCTTCATGGACCGCCTGAGGGAAATGGACCTCGGACTGCCCACGCCCACGACTCAGCCTGAATATGGTCGCGTTCTGTAACTGAAACCTTCTGCTGCCTAGAGAGATGGATTTAGATTTAAGAATTATTGAGATTTAGTTTCAATTCCATTTTTTACAATGGATATTCTTTGCTGTTTTATTTTGCTTCTAAATCTCCCACTGTGTGCAAGGAATGGCCGGGGTGACCATCCACTGGTAGCGCGCAGGTCAGCAAAATTGCAAGACTAGCACCTTAACTATTGCACCAATGAGGTCCAATCTTTATTCAATGCCTAAGTGCAATCTCACCCATGTGCGTGATTCACTTTCAGTCACATCTAACCTCGCATGTGAATGGTAGTTCAAAAGTAAAGTGAAATGTACACTGTATCTGTAAAATATATGTATATATTTATATAAAAATGCCACTTCATCTTCTGCTTCCATCTATGACGTTATACCTTATTTCCCGACCAGGCTACGAACCATACGTGGCGCAGGAACATCAAACGAAGATACGAAAAAACGCATCTTCTGTCAACTAGGCTGTAAATCAAATTAACCATACAATTTGCACTTTACGAAATGATAAGCTCCGAAAGAAAAGGAAAAGTTTAATGTCTGGATAAGCAGTTTTATATGGTGTATCAAATGGGATAATAAGTAGCGTTATAG